TAGTAAGCTGGTCAGGCTGCTATGCCTAACTAGAAACAGAATTCCTTTTATTTTCTTCTCAAAAAAACTCACCTAGAGAGGCAAAGAAATTCAGTAACACTGAGCACAAGTGTGAGAAATCAACTCCGAGTAGAGCAATCACGGAAGGTAAGTTACATACTTAATATAGCTTAAATAAGTGTTTAGATTTTACTTCAAATAGCTAGTGACTACAGGTGACGCTGCAATTCATTCAGCTGTTTGAGGGAAGACAACCAACCATTAAAAATTAAACAGCTGGTAAGTATTACATATTACTTCAGGTCATTAAGTCTTGCACCATTTGAGACATGTTCCACCACATCCCAGATTAAGAAAAACTAAAGAGAGATCATATTTATATTGTATTTCAATGTCCTAAGCTATACAACACTTTAATTAAAACTAATAACGAATAAGGTAAGCAGCTCACAAACACAAAGGCTGAGAAACTGAACCATCTAGATTATCCAGATCATATTACACTGGATAACCTAATACTTTACTTTGGAAAACCAAGCATAGAAAAGAAGATATTTTCTCCAGGAAAACAATTCGTTTAAAGCTATCACTGAATGCATACGAATTTTTCTCCAACTAATATAAATTTCCTTTCAAAGTCATTGATTATAACTTCTTTATATACCTTTCTTAATTTTCTATAATTATTTTGAATATGAAAGACCATACAGCTGAGGTATTGCTTTCCCACACAGTCCTGTCCAAACTCTGCTTGTGGTTAAAAAGAACCCCCATGCTTAACAGCTTATTTCTGAGTAGATAAAAAATTACCATGATGGACTAGAAAAGTTTAATTTGTCTCCTCTGCTGGTTACACAAGAGGCTAAATTCATACCTTAGTGCAGCCTTGGTTAGGACAATCTGTGCCTCAGTTTTACCACATTAGTGATCCTGGTGTTATGTCTGTACCTCACATATAAACTTACATACCATGGTAATGCTGTTTAAAACTATTACATGCTGTAAGCAGCAAAATAATTCTCTCACTAGCTTTAACAACTCCTAATAACCTATCCTAGAGGCATGAACCATCTCATAAGCCCATGCATAAAGACAAATAATTAACTTTAAAAATCCAAATGAATTCACCATTTGTGTTCCAACCTCCCCCTTCCCAATTGTTTAGTATTCTCTTCCTGCAGGCAGCATCAACACTCTCAACACAGCTCTGCAGGGTCTCACTGACCAACTTTGTAATATGAGAAGGTGATACCTGTAGATTAAAGCTGACTTTAGTAAAAAGTTTAACAGTACATTCTAGTTTAACAACAGAATCCCCTGATGACTTCCTCTACAGCAAAAAATTATGATGTAAATATCAAATGCTGGATATAAGGATGAAACTTCCTACACTCTTATGAAGACTCAGAGGTTAAGATGATAATGAGAAATTCTGGCAAACATGGCATCTACAAACATGTATTATTTATAATTAATGTTCCATTACAGATATGGATATAGACTCCTGTATCTCAATAGCTCCCAGTTTTCTCTTGCAGGCATCAGAGAAAGGGCCATTCTTTCCAAGAACTCGCTCACCTTAAGTACAGCACGGATTCTGCATTATCAACTATTTTTCTGCTAAAGGAGCTACAACTTTAGAACTTGCTGGCTGACTGTCAAGTGTACCAGGACATTTGTTACCATCTGCTGCAATTACACCAACTCAGAAATGTTGTACTTGGAAACAACTTGCCTGATTCATATTCCAAGATGATCTAAAGCCCAAAAGCCTGCCCTTACCACTCCTGCCCCTCTGTATTATAATTTTCCCCCACCAAACCATTTCTGCAAATTCACACAAATACCGTACCAGAGTAGTAACATGGAGACAGAATAGACTGAAAATCCTTCCCCCCGGCAAAGCCAACATAAATGTTTATCAGATTACAACATCAGTCACTTAAATTCTACTCACCATAAATAAAACCACACAATTTTTAAATCATAGAGATTTAAATATAATTTCTTCAATTGGCAAAGTAAAAGCAAATGAAAAACTTAAACAATATACTAAGTCTCCTCTAGGATGAAGACTTCACCAACTACAATTAGTGGTTATATGAGCACACTTATGGGCCTTCTAATAAAAAAGGACATGCTCATATTTGCTTATTCATGCAAATACGAGTTAAACATCATAAACAATAACATGGTTTTGCATAAGAGATTTATTCTTCAGATTGTGATATTAGTTAAGTAAAACACAGTCTCTGAAACAAGAACCATGGGATTCTCAGCATTTACATCTGCTTTTCTAAACTGGCTCCTTCTCCTTCACTGAATTTGTTCTCTTAAATTAATTGCCAATAAGGTAAAAGCAAGATATCTTGTGGCTGAATAAAGTTTATTGCATACTTTTATTGTTCTTTTATTACCCCACTACATAGATAAGCAATTAAGGTTTTTGTAACACTGCATAAAATGCAAGTGCTGATGGGAAACGGTGATTTAAAGCATATTTCCTTAATTTCTAACTAAGAACACTACCACTAATTCTTGTCAAGACAAACATGAATTGGTTTTTAAAAATTATTTAAAGAACTGTATTAGATACTTTCTGCTGCAATCACACCACAGTTTCCTCTGTATGCCCATGAATCTCCTGTCTGCTCCATTTGCAAGATCTAATTATGCTTGGAAGTTACAAAACATGATGGAGACAAGGACTGGAGAACAGGACTGCCACGAACTTAACACACTCCCCAACTCTAGGTCAGCCTGCCCCTAAGTGCTTTAACGCTCTGCTTGTCTTCAGACTAGCTAAGGCATGAGCTCCCACTATGGTTTCAGCTTTTACTGAAACAGAAGAAAGGAGCTGATCAAGATAATGCCTCAGACTCCAATTTTGCCAACCCGATGTTTGTCTATATTTCTTATTCCTTACACATTAACTGTATGTGTGTACAAACATATATAAAAGCATATATATGATCCAGACAGCTGTTTAATTTTGGAGTTGCACAAATCAAATTACTTCCTTTGCCCCAGAAAAGAACTCTTCCATTATCTTTTCTAGAGAAGCAACACTTAGGTAACTAAGTCACTGACTGCAGGTGCTAACTCCTTATTACCAGTTCCACCCAGCTTAAAAAAAAAAAAAGCAAGCATATTCTAAGACACTAAAACCACATCCAGTTCAGGGGATGCAACATGAAAGCCTGAGTGGTTTCAGCTAAGAATGACAGACCAGAGGCACACTATAAGAAACACTAAAATAACTGCTTGTAATTTGCAAACAATACCAGATTTAACACCTGCTTGTCACCCAACGCCACGGTGTTTCCACGTTTTAATAGTAAGCCAGCTGCAAAAAAAAAATTGGAACACTTACAACACTAATTGTCAGGGTGTGGAGTAAGTCCCAGGGGCACGAAATCTATGCAGCGCATAGTTTTCTTCCACCATCAACAAACAGGTTCCCTTTCTTTCTCGTGAAACCCACCTTCTACCACACTCGGGCCCTAATCGCCCTCTCATGAGTGCCCTCCACGCTGCAGAGCA